TTCTTCCTTTTCCTGCACAGTCTTTTTTAACTGGGCTTCTCTTGTAGCTCTTCTAACCATTGCATATTTCTTTATGAGAAATATGTAAACTGAGCTGGGAAGTGTATTCAGGGATAGTCAACTAGTCCTGAAAAATAATCAGGATTGCTCCAAACGGAGAATGTATCAGATTAAGGTTCTTTCAGGAGAACACCTCATTGCCTACACTGGGTGAACACACTGGCACTATTAACTCTTGCATCTAGTTTCTCTGATCTCTCTGTGGATGGCAGGGAAGAACAGAGAGAGGCAGCAGCAGCTGCTCACCTTCCTGCTTCCCTTCCCTTTTATATTCTCTATATGGCTGGATTAAAACAGTGATKGAAACTCATAGCTGTGTGGTGTTAGTGTTGTGCTAGTTCTCTTGAAACATAGGCAGATTGCTGTCTCAGAGGGATTTCTAAATTTTCATTCCAGTGTTTCTGACTTTCAGCTTTGACCACTGGCTAAGTAAATATGCAATTAAGTTGAAGAGAAATATGGTGGGTTTTTTTTTTTCTTTYCTTTTTTTTGAAATGAGGATTCTCTTGTTTTTGTGCAGAAAGAATTCTTTAGGGCATCTTCATATCTGCAGTGTGGTGCRGCTTGGATGTTGATGCCTGCAATGAAAATCTATCACATTAGGGCATACTCGCCTCCTGCCTGCATGATTCCCAGTAGTTTTGTGACGAGCTATCTTGCAGAGTGATGTTGGATTTTAATACAATAATCTGTACATTAGCAGGAATATGTCATTGCGGGGCTAAGCCATGCTGGTCAGAAGAGAAACSGCAAATCTCAGGGCATTAAAATTCAGTAAACCTCAAAATTATGTATAAGTAGTGTATTGAATTATCTCAGATAGCTGGTGTACTTTTATGAAGAGGATTTATTTCCTTCTCAGCACTGGGTTTATACCCAGATGTAACTGACTGCACACCTTGAAGAATATATAATGACACTGTAAAAAACTTAGGAAATGAAACTAAATGCCCAGGTGAGGCTTTTGTTGGGGCTGGAGAGAGGCAGTGTTATTTAGGCTGGGGGATAGAAGGATAGAAGGATAGAAGGATAGAAGGATATGTGTTCTCTTAAGGATAGAAGACCTGTGTTCTCTTAAGCGTGGACTTCCAAAGGCATTTGGAGGAGGACAGTACAGGGCTGGTTTCATTTGTGTTTGAGTGTGCTTCAAGATTAGATATATTAGAATGTTGCTGACTTTATTGGAGGAGTTGTGATTCACATTATTTCATGATGCTTCTTATTTCCTGATGAAGAAGACTTAAGTCTTTAAGAATTTTGGCATTCATCAACAGCTCGTGATTCATACAACTGTGCATTTCAGCAGTGACTTTCTTCTGGCTGGCTTCTGGCACAATGGCCAGAAATTCCTGCTCTGCAACAAGAATTTTGGTTTGAGATTGATGATAATACCTTCYTTTAAGACAGAAAGTTACCATCTCACATTTTATCTTGAAAGTTGCCACTTAGAGCAAAGAAGGAAAGGCGTTTATTGGATCTGTATGCAGAAGCAGTGCCAGCAGGATGCAAAGGTCTTTAAGAAAAATCATTTTTTCACTGAAGGCAAAATACATCTTTAGTACTGAAGGCCTTTTATTTGCTTCACATAATCCACTTCACTGTTGTATTTTGTCTATTAGCATGGGAGTATTAAATGCTTCAATCCCTCTGATCAATCCCCTGGCTAAACATCTAGGCAGGAATAATGCACAGGCAGGGAAAAACAGCTGATCACCTGGGAAATACARTCAGTTTTTTTCAGTGGGGAAATTGTGACAACTATATGGAAAGTGATAAAAGTGTTCTTTTTAGCCCATTTCTGTATGAAAGTCAAGTAAGCCTATGCGTCCTCAGAATAAGGCAGCTATTCTGGGCTCCCAGCTGTCACTTTTCTCCCTGAATGTTGTCTATTCTTTCAAGATTCAGATTTCCCTGGATCGGACCAGTGAGACTTTGTGTGCGTGCACGTGAGTGCGTTCATAGCAGGAGAGCAGAAAGCTAATCCCAACTGAATTTCAGTCACCTTTGCCATCTGGGACATTGAGTACTTCCCTTGAAGTTGTACAGAGGCTTCAGTCAGTGCAAAATAGAACTACCAGCATCTTTGAAAGCTTTGAGCTTCTGCTCCATCAATTGTGCAGAGTTTTGGGTTATTTCCAAGTTCAGTGCAAACGTTTCGKTTTTGATCTAGAGGCCCTGGTGTTATTTTGATCTTCCAGCGTGCTGTAACTTTGTTTCCTTGTGTTCTTAGCAGTGAAGTTGGTTCAGAGCTTAATGATTATTTCGGATTGAAGGCTGCAGTAAGTAGAGCAGAGACTTTTTTGAGGTTAGTACATGAGAGCTTGTGATTATTTGGTGGATTTTGTTTGTTTGTTTGTTTTTCCTGGTTGTAGATAGTGGCCTTGGAGCTTTACTTCAGGAAATACTACAGTATCTTTCCAGTTTAAAACCAAGTGCTCTCATTATGTCCATTTAGGCACATGGRTGCTAAAAGATGTTGGCACACAGGTTTCTGTTTTATGGAGAGGAAAGAAGATAGGATCTGATGGGCTTTGTGTGGCCTCTCAAAAGAGCAAATCTTTTAACTCACAAACAACAGGAAAAGTGCAAAACACGGCATTCATGGCATTACAGTGAGTTCCTATTTAATGACAAGAAATTTACAGGCAAATTCAGATTTTTGCATAAAAAGATGTTGTGAGAGGGACTATAACTGTACTTTTGTTGGCCCCAGGAGGTATTCCCAGATGGATTGTATCCTTTTTTTTTTTAACTTTTTTTTTAATATATTTGTCATGTTTCACCTTTGGTAGTATAAAGGTGAGGTCATGTTTCGAGGTCATGTTTCACCTTTTGTAGTATAAAGGCTTTGTTTTCTTCTCTGTGGGAAAAGAAGTTTTCCTACTTGTTCCCTGTCACCAATTTCAATGTATGGAGTGGCCATTGTTTCCAAAAAGGTTGTGTTTGGTGGTCTTATGTAACCTAACTCAGATACCCATATTTTAAATTAATTCCCAGCTAAGAGATATAATACAGTTGCAAAATAATAAAGTCATGGAATGCTAGTAAAGATGATGAATATGAATTCAATTCAATTTAATTCAATATGAACAACATTCTTTCAGAGATTCCATTAATCAGAGAGTTCTCTAAAATCCTTCCTAATTTCTGTATGAGGTTGACTATTTTCACATGAATCCTCAGTAGCCCTTATAACTCTTAAATTCACATCAGATGATAAAGTAGCTGTGGGATTTAAAAATAAAAATTGAATTCATTTGGTGTCCTTTCTGAGTTGCAGTATATGTGCACAGGAACCCAGCACCTGCACTTGGCAGTTGCTGTGATTTGGCTCTCTCTTCATTTCTGCAGTTGCTTTTTTCCTTTTATCCCTTGCCCCTTCGAGCTCCAAAATGTTTGCATCCATCTCATGCCCAGGCAGGAGTTTCAAGGGGATGCTGCTACTAGTGCTGTGCTGGAAGTGCAGTAGGGATGTGCTTGAACTCCCATAGGACTTCATTGAAGATTCTCATTATCTGGTAGAGACTTCAGTTCATTTTGCACTGTATTTTAGCTGTAGTGACTGCGGGATAGAGAGTCAGTTGCTTCAGTTAGTGTGAACTGAATCAAAAAATAATGGCATTTAGGTATTTGCTATTCAGAAGTAAAAAAAATWAAAAAAGCAACAAACAAAAAAACCCACTGTCATTTTATAGTTTTTATACATGAGATTTAAGCAAATGAGATTTAAGCAAAACAAGCATCGGGGTCCTTGTTACAAGTCAAGTGAGATGGTGAAAATTCTGTGGTTTTATCCTGAAGGATTAAACRGTCTTGAAATCACAGTTTCTCTATGTGTATGTCACTATGTATTAAGCAGTAATTCCTTTTTCATGGGCAGCTTCACTCAGGCATGCTCATAGATATTTTTTCATCAGTTAAGCAATTTAGATATATGTTATATTAAATTCTCTCTTGGCTGGTTGAAGATGCAGCTTTAAGGCCCATGAAGAAGGAGCTATTATATTTTCTTTATAAAAGTCATAGCCAAAGAGAGACCACAGGGAGAAATATCTCTTTATAAAGACTCTTAAATGAGTGCATATGTATGAATAGGTCATAAAACCTGAAAATTAATATCTAGTAGTCAAATACTTTTCTGTGAATGGTAAAATCATAGTAACCAAATCCCCTCATGAAATCTTGTAAAGAAGTGCCCCCTGCCGGCTTCCTATTTCTTTAGCTGCCGAGAGCTGCATGGATRAGATGAAGGCAAAGGCTTTGCGTGAAATAAAGGGCTGCAGGGATGACGAGTTTGCATTTAGAGAGTTAACCAAAGCCTGAGAAATGAACCAAAGTGTCAGACTGCCCCAAGCTTATGCATGAGAACATCACCTTCCTAGAACTTGTTTCAGAGCTCTTTAAAATAATTGGGAGTATTTCCAACAACGTCATGTACTTAGGATCAGGCTCACAAATTCTTGGAACTTCCAGGAATTTAGATCTAGATTTAGATCCAGAAATCTCATTTCTCTTAATGTACTCAAGAATATTTAATTTTATATCTTAACTTCTTGTGCCATATATAGGCGGAAAATGCTTTAAGAAGCTAGAGGATATATGACAGAAATAGTCTATAAATGTTAGATTGGGAAAAAATGCAAAAAAAAATTCTTTATCTATTTGATCAGGTTTGATAAGATAACTTCTAATTCTACTTTTTTTGGCCACTGGTAAGTGCTGTACTTCTGGGAAGACCACCAATAAATCTACCAGTTCCATTTTCATTTTTCTCTTCTTCTGTCTAGTCACGTTCCAGTCWCACTTTTGAATCTGCAGAATTTGGTAACAAAGATGGGTGCAGCCATCCTCATGAATAGTCAAGCTTAACTTATTTGTATGTTGCTTGTTTTAAATAGAGTTTATTTCTAATATTMGTTTTCCTTTCTTTCAAAATGCAGGTGGAGAACAGACCAAAGTATTATGGAAGAGAGTACGTATGTTTCTCTTTTAAATATTTGCTCATTGTCTCTGAAAATTATTGTGGTAGTTTTTTTGGAAAAAAAAAAAAAAAAGGTACAATGGAGTTTTCTGACAGAAGCCTTGATTTATATTGCTCTTCACCAGGGAGGTAGACATACTGACTGTCTAGTACTGTCTTGAGTATTTCTTSGTTTAGCTTTGGTTGTCATTTTAACCTGCCTATGAGGCTACAGTGGKTTAGGGAAGAGAGAAGAGGCTTCCCTGTGTCACTGTGTTTTTGTGTATGTTCTTATATCGCCTCTACCACGATACTGAGTGCTATCTCTGAATATATGCATGTCCATTACCACATAYCTAGGTGCTTTACCCTCTGTGGAGGTTGCAGGGTCTGAAACGCCCAGAGAAGTGATGCATTTTTTGTTGCAAGGAAAGTAACAGACAGTTAGAGCACAATTCCTGGGAATGTTTTCCTGTCTCTAGCTGGGCTCTTCATTTACACAGCAGGGCCAGATACATGAGCTGTGTTCAGTGATGCTTTTCTACTATCAGAAACCTCAAGAGGCTCTGTAGCTTGCCCCTAATTACTGTAGTTTCATTTTTAAATATTATCTTTGCCAATGGGGAATTCGGATTTAGCTAGGAGGATACAGCAGACCTGAGGACAGCACTGAGATAACTATCCCAGGACTTCAGAAACCATCATCCCAKTCCTTTTTGCGGTAACCTGGCTGGTTACTGACATCATACAGCGTAGCAGAATGGCAGGGACCATAAGTGGTCACCTGGATGAACCTGCCACGGTAAGATCACCTTAGTTCACATCCAGTGGGGACAGTCCCTAAAAAGCAGTTGGCTCAGTAGAGCTGGGAAAGAAAATTAGGAGTGAAAGTGAAGTGACAAGAAAAAACTTTTGACTGTTTCATGCACTCTTTTGGTAAAGCTTTGTCATCTGCTGCTGTCAGGGTCAGGATTTCAAGTTCAGTGGATCTGAACCTCATCATGGACAAGTGTTTCTGTGGCCTTAGGTAAATGTAGCTAGAACATTCATGAAAAAGCTTGGCTTGCCCAGTAGTCATCTTCCCACAGTGACTTTGTTCAAAATGATGGCAATTGGTTAATACTTTCTTCCTGCATTSGTTGGATGCAGTCATTTTCTGACACATCCAAATTAAAAACAACATYGCATAGATGACAGAACTTAAACATGTCTTTAGCAATAAATTCATAGCAATTCATAAGTCTAGTTAAAAATAATAAGCATCAGCTATTATTCACACTGGAAGCTCATTGTGAAATAAGGCAAGCTTTAGATTAGATRTTAGAAAACAAACTTTCCCAGTGATCTCAGCTGGGATTACACTGATCCATAATGAATGACCCGGACAGGATACTTGGGACATCTGGGAAGCTTCTTTAAGTGGAGATGTTAAGTTGTGTGAAGATCACCTAAAACACGTATTTCTAACTGCATTAGTTGCAGARAGACAGGAGAACTGCACAATTGCATTTACATCCAACATGTTTTCCTTCTCTTTCACAACCAAGCCAGAGGCAGTGTTAGCARTGTGCCACTTCCCATGTATTGTCAGAAATCAGAAAATGCTTACAGCCAGTAGCTTTTAGTGCCTTTTTCTTTCAGACAGCAGTAAAAATAGAAACTTTCAAAAGCTCTGAGGAGACCCTTGGAGGCTTATCAACCAGAAGTCTGTGTAGGAGTTAAGATTCAAAATGCTACGAAGACTACATTGGTACTTACAGAAATCTCACATATTGATTATTGTAAAGGTAATAGTGTATCCCAGAGCCTCTTGCTTTCTTAAAGTAACAATGCCAAAAGAAACACAGAAAATACTGCTTTTTTTTTCAACAATGAAAGAGAAACTTGACTTAAATAAAGAAAACTCTATTGTTMTCAAGGTTATTATGTAGCTTCTTCAACTTTACTATATATAGAATACAACTTTGATTTTTCTTTTGTATTTTCGTGTCAGTTTCTGCTACAAATTTAAAGAAGCGATGTTAATATAGAAAACTTCAGCCCATGTCTGGTGTGGCTCACCATAGCTCCCCATAGGTGCTTGTGTGCATGCACATGGACAGAGAAGGGCAGTGGATGCTGGTGGGGGCAGATGCAATGGGAATTCCTCTTCAGTAGCTGGGCCAGCTTACACTGACTGAAGCAGTATTTGAGACTGCCATGTAATTTTCCTCCTATGCCTCTCTGCTGGTCTTGCCCAGACTAGAAGATCGTTCTGCCACTTGTACATGCTCGGAAGCTCTTGACAGCTCCCTAATGGCTCAGATGGCCGTTGTGCTCAGTGGTTACTGCAGGGCATTGGCACAGTTTTCTCCAGGCTGCAGCAGATTATTCTCTGCTATTCCCTTTTCTCTTTCCTGTCCGCACATTGGGATCAGAAATGATCTGCAGATAATCACCTGGGTGCAGCACTTGGTGCTGTATCCTGTTGTACTTGTGCCTAACCTGCAGTCTTACATCAGAAGCYTTCAAATAGTTTGTGCAGTAGAGGTATTTCTGGTTGCCTTATTGTGTAAATCATTGAAATATCTTCCCTTTTAGGTTTCACGGGATCATTTCTCGGGAGCAAGCAGATGAAATACTTGCCGGCGTGGAAGGCGCTTACATTCTTCGGGAAAGCCAGCGGCAACCYGGCTGCTACACTCTGGCCCTCAGGTAAATTCTGTTCTACTAGATGCTTGCAGTTCAAATGTAAGGGTGTTTAGTGGAGGAGSTGATATCGGTCCTTTCTCAGTACTAAGTCTGTATATGCTGTTTATTAATACACTTCACGGTGTCAGCGTGATTTTAGAGCCTCTCGTCTGCAGTTTGACAAGCACTGCGGTCCTTCAGCGAGCCCCTGGGCACTTGGCTAGGAAAGTGCCTTTTCAGGAGCAGGCTGTGTCTGCTTGCCAAGTTGTTCTCGGTTTAGTTTTAATCCAGACAAGTCTGTTGCAGTGAGTTAAACATGGAGCTTTCCCTTGGAAGACAAGAAACACACTGAAGTGAATTCACAGAACCCAAGAGAAATGTAGATGATGCTAAGAATAAGAGAACAGCAAAAATGGTGATAGGGTCCTACTGTCCTTCTAACCAGTTCTTCCTGGGCACAGCGAGATTTTTCTCTAGGCTCAGCRAGGAATTTTATATCAACATCAGTGACAGTAGGAGATACTTGAAGAATCCCACTCTGGGAAACCAAGAAATGCAGTGGCTCTGTCCAGGGTGGACATAGCAGACCTCATTTTTCTTCCCCTTGCTGGAATGCGTCCATGCTGTAGAAATACAGTGTGGATCAATGACATAAAGCTGTGCAGAGAAGTAAAATGCTGCTGTGCAGCTTAATTCAAAATTCAGAGACTGAACCACAGCACCAGTGCTCCTCACAGGTGGCTTCTCTTGAAAATACATTCCCTCATGGCTTAACTGTGCCATTTAAAGCTGCCCCTGTGGCATCCTGAAAGCTGCTGTGGGCTAGTGGGAAGAAGCCCGGACACTACTGGGTTTTGACAAAATAAACTCAGTGACAATATTTTACAACGTTTATACCATTATTCCTTCTGAGGGACATAGACACAAAATAAAAGTCTTCATTTTTACCCTCCTGCTGGTAAGGCTGTAAAAAAAAATTCTTCAAGGAGTTCTCCCAAGGAGCTGTGATMCTGTGCTGAAATCAGCCTCCGCATTCTGGTTGCTGTGCAGATGGTAGAGCTGGAAAAGCTAGTGATTCATGCCAATTAAAAAGTGTTGTAAATTAAAAGCAACTTTTGTCAGCTGAAAAAGAACAAGCATATTTTTTGTAGGATTTTGGCCAGCTATTTCAAAATAAAGAATAGAAAGAACTACCAAAGGATAGAGATTATGGCAAACTGCCTGTTGTTTTGACGCAACAGTGTGATTTCTAAATTCATCTGGATAATTATTTGTAGACTGAAAAAGTGAATTTAAATGTAAGTTGAGAATTTATATRAAATAATGTGCAGGGAGAGATGTCAGTTAACAGTTTGGTTTTGAATGTGCAACATAGTATGCAGAAACATACACATTTAATGTATTATGCTGGATCACTTAACCCAGTGACTTCTCTTTGAGTCATTTAATCAAGAATAATATTTCACCTACGTATTATAAACAGAAGATACTACTACAGCCCTCTTCTTTTTAATGCAGTTTTTTAAAAATATAGATGATACTTGCCATTAATAACCATGTAGGGCCAGAGTTATCCCAGCAAACTTTAGGCATTTAATTTATTTAATTCCCCACCCGGCCACCCCAAATTAGGATCTTAATCTCTCTCTGGCTTCCTTCCAGAGGATGATTCAGACTCTTAGGATTTAAATTACTTGCTGGAGATGCCCATGTCTTTCTGTTGCCTGTAAAAATGCCCATGGGGGTTGAGCTTCTAGTTTCAGCACCTTAGAAATGTGGCAGGATGAAGCAGCCCTGGACAGAATTTTACATCCCAATACAAAGTCTTGAAAATGAAAGCGTATCTTTTCATGTGCTATGGTATTCCCTACAGGATTTAGAGCAAATCATGTCCTTCTGGTGTATGTGTTTTTATAAAGACAACTGGCTCAATTTTGCTGTAGCCCAGTCCATTTGCTGCAGTGAGGTTTGGGTTTGAATTTGAGCTGCATCCGCAGAGATCCAGTTGCAGCCATGTGTATATTCCATATGTAACCCATATATATAACGTGGCATATAGTCAGCAGAATTGCCTCCTGAGTATTTTGCCAGTATCAGTTCTATCTCTCACTCTTCCCTCTGTCTCTTCTTCCTTTCCTTCTCTCTTTTTTTTTTTTTTTCCTGGTATATGCAGATTTGGTAATCAGACCCTGAACTACAGGTTGTTCTATGATGGAAAGCACTTTGTTGGGGAGAAAAGATTTGAGTCGATCCATGATCTGGTAACAGATGGCTTGATAACATTGTACATAGAAACAAAGGCTTCTGAGTATATATCGAAAATGACAACAAACCCCATCTACGAGCACATTGGATATGCCACTCTGCTTAGAGAAAAAGTGTCCCGGAGGCTGAGCAGAACAAAAAATGAATCAAGAAAAGCAAGTGTAACAAGTGAAGAAAACACCCCCGTGGAAAAGGTAGGCGTTCAGTTTAAAATTTTGAGATTCCACACTAGTCTTTCTGTCAAATCTAGGGGAAAATATATTTTGTCTGAAACATTTTTTCTATTTTCTACACCTTATTAAGTGTTACTAAGCCAAGTGTTTATATCACGTTAATGTGATTTTTGCTCCAAGCTAATATTTAACTGGAGCTTATGAGTAAAGCTTCCTAATCAGTACTATGCAAATGTTTCCACTGTATAAATATATATATACTGGTTAGCATAGGTACTGCACCTTGCAGTGGTCACAAAGCATGTTTCTTTATCCATGTATGCTCAAGCATACTCAGCAGTGATCTCTGATAACGAAAGTGGTTCCCACTGACCATTCACCACAGCTCAAGTTTGTTATCTTTCCATTTGCAGTGCAAAGYTCCTCTTTCCTGCCAAGTCTCTGGTGGAGGGGTCTGAAATTGGGGTGTTCATGTTTTCTTCTTTTTCTTCTTGCTCTTCTGATTTAAAGTGGGCTCTTGGTCTCTTTCTCTTGTATTCCATATCCCAAAGCATTGTATGGTCCAGGATCTAATGATAAATTGAGAATCCCTTGCAGTTAGTAAGCAACTGAAATGTAAAATTAGAAATATGAAAAATGGTCTTGTGAGTAATAACATGTGGATATTTTCACAGTAAGAACTGTCAAACAAAAATTTCTGAGGCAGGTGTTCATGCTGCATTGACTTATTAGTGTTTGTGAGGGTACCTCTGCAATATGGTTTTAAAATACAATGCCATGGGTAGTTTTAATAGGTTATTTTTCATAGCCAGTTGTGATTTCTTTTGTGCCAGGGCTTAGCCATCATTTCTCAGGTTAGACAGTTTTGAGTACGTACTGTAAAATTACTTTTAAACCTGTARATGCACAAACTGCTACTGAAAGGTGCTCCTGGCCTCTCCCCATGACTGGAAAATGTCACATTCGGATCTAATGTCACCACTGTCAATAGCAGCGGAAAGATTTAGAGATTGGACTAGGTCTTTTTTTGCATTGCAGCTGAAAGATGATGCACGATGCAAAAGCTACCGCCTTAAGCCTTTATCCTCAATGAGGAGCATTTTTGCTCATGGAGAATTTCACACACGCCATCAGTATCAGGCTACAAGACTGGGGATGCGTTGCTGCACTGCCATGTAAAAATAGCCAGCTTCAACTGAGCCATTACAGTGCTGGCAACTGTCCCTGCCATTCCTCCCACTGAGGGGAAGCAGCAGAAGGAGCAGCAGCAGCTGTTTCTGACATATTTTCCTTGCCAGAAGAAGCAGGAGCAATCGCAGCTACATGAGGAGCGGGGCTAAGCGGCAAGGTGAGCTGTTCCCAGGCTAAAGACCTGCTGCATCACCTGAAGCCTCCACGTAGGTGATTAAGACTCCCAATGGGCTTCCCTACTAAAAGCAGTTTTCCATCATTTCCGTCACTCCAAAATGTTAGAAAAAGCTGAATTCAGTACTTCAGCTGAATTATGAGTAGCTGAAAGAAGACAGAAGTCTGTGCAGTGCCTATCTGGCTGACTGTGTTTCCTGTGTTCCTGGAAAATCTCCCTGGGGATTTGCACAGCAGAGACATGAGGATCGGCATTCCCTTTTCTTCTTCATAGTAACCTCTGTATGGATTGGGCTATGAAAGAAATCAATAAAATACCAAGTATTTGTCTGTAATAGTGGATAGAGACARAGGAGGGTAAAAGGAATTTAAGATTCGCTTTAATGCAGCCCCATAAAAAGAAATAAAAATGGGAAGATGGTAGATGAGTGGTAGATGTGTAGATGTAACGGTATGAGACGTTTTGCTTGTGTTTGTCATGTGTTATAGAGAATTTTAGACAACAGACTTGCTTTGCCCACAGATCTAAAGCTTTCCTCTCAGCAGCTGCTAAGACCATTAGAAATAAATGGATGGGTACTCAGTATGAAATATTTCTGCAGAAGTTTCTTGATGCATGAGTGACAAAATAAATAACTGAAAGGAGTGGGTTTTGTTTGGCCATTTACAGAGAATAAGTAAAATGTAATTTTTTGATAATTAAACTGGTTTACCTGGGTGTTTTCACTGTTTCAGAAATGTTGGGCAGGAAGAAAGCCTTACACACAGGACAGAAACTTTCATTTTTCTCAAAAGGAGAATTTTGCAGTCTCAGGTTAAACGTCACTATTCGAATTATAGCTTAGTCTTTTCAGAAGGGAAATTCTGTTTCATATTGAAACCAATTGCAGGGTGTGAAGCTACAGCTGAAGGCACTCATCCCCATCACAGATTTGTTACACCATCCGGGGAATCCGCACRTTCTGTCATGTCCCATGTTGACAGCAGGAATTATTAAATGTCTCAGTCATTTCAGAGATGCTTTCCCCCTTTGGGTAGGTCGATGGAAGGTTGCCACCAAGGCACTGGCTGGCAGGAGAACTACACATTTGAATAAAATGTCTTGGTACTGCCTGGGGTACCTGTCTATTCCCATAATTATAGTTTCTTGGAGGTTGTAATTAGTGGAGTCATACTCATTTCAAAAGGGGGATGTGATACATGGGCCACATTAAGCTGTTGTTTTCTGCCTTTCTACCCATCATTTTTTTTATAATAGGCCTTTTTGTTTTTTTTTTTTTTTCTTTGTGATTCTTATTTCTTTGTAATCTGTATTTCTTCCAAAAGTATTTCTGTCTAAAGAGGTGCTAGGTTTACAGACACAGATTTCAAATTTTTGTCTGGATAGTTTAGAAGATCTTCAATGTAAAAGGGGACTCACTGACTTTTAGGAATGAAGTATTTTGGGAGAACACCATTCTGCAAATATTTCCTTAGCAGAAATATTGGCAGTTGTCATTTTAATGTAATCCAACTTACAAAAGGATTTGGGATCTTGCAYAAAGAGCAGGGAACATTATATACAGTCTAGGTTTGTGACTTAGTCTTGAGCAAATTGCAATTATGTGTTTTGTGTTTGCTCTGTTTCAGGAATGCTGGACTGGGGGCAAATAATCATAGACTGGAAGATGTAGGGCAGATAAGTCCCAGACACTGTGAGTGTGGGAGGAGGCTAGTGTAACTTGTTGTGAGCAATTAATCCTCACATGGAGGAAAGAAAAATTTGCAGCACTCACTCAGTAAAATACCTAGTTCTGGAGGGTTTATMACTATCACATATCATGTCACGTGGCTGCTGCCATCACTGCGTCAGTGATCTCCGTAGCTCAGGCAAAGAGAATAAATTCTTCCTCTCTAATTCCACACTGGCAAGTGAAATTCAGGGAAATACATTCTAGAAATCAAAGTAATGGAGGTGAATGTGAGCCAGGCAGAGGTAGCAGCTCGAGGCTGTTGGTGCTGTGGGAAGAAGCAGCCCCCGTTCCTGCTCCTGCAAGTGCCTCCACCACGCGCTGCGCACGTGTTTGGGGCTGCCACAGCCATCACAGGCCAGATACAGTGCTCTGGTCCCACACAGGAGCAATTCCTTCATTAAGTTGCCTTGCAGCTACTGCAGTGCTTATATCAGCACTGGAGATGACGGGAGAGGGGGGATGCGCTTAAATGAAATGTTTGGCAGCAGTTCAGCTTCACGCGTTCATGGAAACAGTGATCGTACCCTGTCTGACAGAGGACAGGCTGTTGGTAAACACAGTCAGAAATCAGGAAAGTTTTGTTGGTGCCAGGTCTCCACTTACTCAGATCTGGGCAAAACTCCCATCGACTTCTCGGTGAGTAGGACCTTGCTGCGGCAGTGCTGGATGTGTGGGAACCAGGAGGTGCTCGGAGCCGCTCTCAGAGCCTTGTTCTGCCTGATGGGTGTAAGTACGTGCCAGGAGCAGCAAGAGGCCCTTAACGATGATTATCTTTGGGGAAAAGTATAACATTTTGAGCTGAAACAAGACAGRGCTGTGCAGGGGGACTTCACTTAACAGCAGGACAGCAGCAGGCACTGAATATTGCTGCTTGACACAGTAACCCCTCCATCCATTTTTCTGGAGCTCATTACTGTGCATTTATGTGCAAATGACAGAGGCCGTAGTTAATATTGTAGCTGGAAGAGAAAAGCTGAAGTGATAAGCATATTATGGAGGTTGGCGGGTTGCAGATTTCCTCAGCAGAAAATCCCCCACAAATAATAGGCAGATAAGAAAGCCATTCCTATTAAGGAAAAGGTGACAGAACAGGAAGAATAACTTTGCTAGAAGTAATAGTGGGCATTAGGGGCCTCATTAGCCATGCTGCTCACAGGGTTTCCCACAGCATAAAATGCTGGACTTCCAGGAAGGGCTGTTTTCTGACGCCCCATAATTGGAGATGTAATCTGGTTATGGAATTAAATTTTATTAGGAGCACTACACTGTGCAGGAGACAGCCAATTTTAAGAGATCCTCTGGTTTAGTTTAGTGGTTTTGTAAGTATTTATATTTCTACATTGCTATTCACACTGCATCCCTTTGTGAGGGCCTTTCAGCCTCATCCTGCGGCTCCGTCATTTCCCCATGGCTCTTCCCTGAGTTCTCTAAAGGTGCTGCTGTTAGCCAACAGGAGAGAATTTCCAGTCTTTCTGCAGCTGTCATAGACTCCTGGTGATTCTGTTAGAGGTTCCTGGCTAGTGTTCAGCATCCCTGCAGGGATCTCTGTGCAGATGTTGTGCCTTCCCTTTCCGTGCCGCACTGCTTAAGAGGAGAGTGAACAGAAATAYCTGTTCATGCAGACTCAGGGTTAGGACCACGCTGGTTTTGTGACCCAGTGTGGTTTATATTTCCTTGAGCTCCTGGCCTCTGGATGTGACCAGAACAGACTGAAGCTCCTTCTTTTGGTAGGGGGCGACAGTCTATGATCTGTATGGAAATAACCCAAATTCACAAAGGGCTTCTGTGTTTCTACTGGTTTTGTGTGGAAGAAGCTCAAATGTGACCACATAAGCCCTGTACAGGAAAGCAGCCTTTGCACTTTTTAGCAGTATTTGCAGTGATAAAATGTGTGTGGCATTTTTGCTGTTAGAATGAACAGGG